TAATGATGGCAAACTTGTCATCAACATACCTGACACACAATCGTGGTCAATAATTTTCGAAAGCCAGTGCCTCCAGTCGTTGTAGTACTGCCTCGGCAATCAGGCCAGACAACGGCAAACCCATTGGTGTACCTTTTACTTGTTCATACACCGTTCCATTGAAGGTGAAAAAGGTGCTCAAGAAGTGTTACAGGGGTCCAATGAGATTTCTTATTTTGAGCTTCGTGTCCGTCTCGTTATACTTCTCTCCTAACATGTTTTGGACGGTTTCAACCGCAAGATGTTGCGGTATCGAGGTGAAAAGAGAGGTCTCTGCGAAAGATACCATCAATTCGTCATGCGTTATTCGAATACCCTGTAGCTTTTTATGAATTGTTCAGCTGATTTGACGGTCATTGTAGCGCCCTATGTTAGAAATTTGTGAAGTTGAAACAACCACATGGCTAGGCCAAATTTTAGGGTGCCTCTGAGGGAAACGATCGGTTGTAGGGGGATTCCTGGTTTGTAGACCTTGGGCACGCCATAGAATCTTGGGAGCGCTGCGTCCTTTAGTTTTATCTTTTGCCTGTCGAACTGTGTTATTGACTTTGACTTCTGGAGACTTGTCAGATCCTTGTTGATGATGCTTCTTGGTGTCTTAATCGCGTCATCTTCTCGAGGCATGTAAGCAGCTCTATGGCCCAAAAGTATCTCGACTTTGTTGACGTAGTTTTCCTTGTTTAGAATGAATATCGACCGTCCTTTGTCGGCTGGAAGTAAGACAATTTTTTGTCTGCCTTTAGTGTCCGAAGTACTTCGCCTTCTGCTTTCGAGAGCGTCTTGCTATTTTTGTGGAACATCAGTCTAGAGGATATTCGCTGTCGTAGTAGATCTCGGCTTTCTTCGGGAGTTGGAGCTCACGAATGATAGATTTTGCAGCCGCAATGAAATCGAACGGGTCAGCATCCGTGGTATTGAAACAAGCGTCATAGCCCAGGACTCTTGTCGGCTTTGCTGTCAGTTGTTTGGAGGATAGATGGTGTACGGTCAATGCAGTCAAGTTCTGCGTCAGTTCGGCGTCACTATATATATAGGCATATAGGCAGAAGGACATTACGGATAATGACAAGGGAGACTAGACTGGCCATTTCTGGCCTATTAGACTTCGTCTGCCACTCATATCCAACGCCAAGTAGTGCTACTGTATATATGAATATATACATGGGCAAAACTTACCAGGATTTTCAGATTATTCAGTTCTTTACGGTAGTGTAAGTAACGCAGCACAATACCCTCGGCTGTGAAGACAATGGTGACGACAAGAAGGGCAGTTTGGAGACTAGCACTGGACTGCAGCCTATTGGAGATTTTGTTTGCGGCAGTGGACGTTTGCTGGCTTCTACTCCAAAAATAGGCGAATACATCCAGAAAGAGGGTTTCAACAGTCCATAAGCAGTAACAACTGATTCGCACATGATCCATCATGAAGGTGATGGAAAAGGGAACATCAAACACCAGGCATAAACACTCCACTATCCGTGTGATAACGTTCGCCTTTGATGGTTTGGACCGCTCTGCGTTGTCCCAGCATATGTAAAGTTCCGTTAACCCAGCGATGCAAGCATTGGCTAGCAAAACATACACCAAGGGCATGGGGCCGACCGACGCAGCAAATGCACTGAGAGCTAACAGGCGCGCGGAGAGCATGAATAGATTGGAAAGGCAGTAGAGATAGGAGGATAGCTGGAAGTATCCGCAAGGACAGGGAAAGTACATTTGTTCACGAATGGTGAACCAGAGATTGGAGGATGCCCAGGACATCGTTAATAAGGACCAGACGACCGAGCCAACTTTGAGGAAACCTGAAACAGAAAGAAACCCTCACGTGACATGATCGTTTAACCATTGTGCATGACGGTGTATATTGTGTGCCCCACGGTGTATGCACAGCAGCAGTGACTTTTGGTAACAATCTAGATTCGGGCTCACTATAGCAGGAGAAAACCCCAGCATTCACTAATAAGAAACCAGTGGTAAAAGGGTTTATACGGCTAGGGCATAACAAGGGGCAGTGCTTTATGTTTAAAAATATAACCTTCTTATATAGAAAACAGTGGATAAACAGGTTGTAAAAAGCTAACATCTAGCCACGTAAAAACATGTGATAATCGAAAATAAAAGAACAAGCAACCGGACGATTCTATCAGCTTCAGCCCCACTTCGGCCGGAAGGGATAAGAATGGACAACAACATGTACTTATACACTTTGAAGCAAATA